CCCTAACTATTCTATGATTCTCTGATTCTGTGATCTTGAACCTGGAGAGGATGGGCAACACTGGATTGCACAGAGGGCTGGGAGGGCAATGCCCCTTGTTATTACTCCCATTTGGATTAAATCACAAAGAATGAACTTCTGTGCGTCTTACCACTGGAAGTAAGTGAATCTGTTGATCTCATTGGTTTGGAAAGAGTTAAAAGAGCCAGTTCCTCCTAGTAAATCAAAACACCACCTTTTTCAAAACAATTCAAACATGCTCAGCTTTGTGACTTCGGTAGAAGGAGCAATGTGTGAGTTCCCATGAACTCTGGCTAACCACTGAGATTTATTGATAAATGAAAAAAAACAAGGGCTGGGCCCCTGAAACCTTCCCTTACTTAAGCACTATTCTCAGTGTGTTACCAGAAAGCCTAGGAATATTTGCCCAGGATATTTGCTGCTTTTAGAGATGTCAAGGAAAATGAACTCAAAACAGTTTGAAAAGCCAACATGAAGAGGGTTGTGGGTTGTTGGTTTTTTTTGATGTTGTTGTTGTTCTGAACTGCAAGTACAGTCACAGACTGTGCATTAAAGCAAGCGTAATGTGGAACACATTACCCTGCTCAGATCAGCTGCCCAGGCATTAATGGTTCTTCTCCACATGAACACGCCTGTCCTCTGAAAGCTTCATCCCTCTTAGCATGGAGTCTTGCTGTAGCACATTCACTTTGTTTGGAGGGGGCGTTCAGTAGGGTGCCACTGTGCAACCACTGCTTACAGGGACTGCTGGCGTTTGGGTCAGCTGTTGGGGGCTTTGCTTCAGCCCATTTTTTCTTGTAACTGAATAGATAGTGAAGTTCTGGGGAGGAGCAGGAATAACATTTAGGATATTCCCAGGCTTCTCTGGTTATTTTGTCTCCACTGACTGAACCTTTTCCTTTGGCAGTATTTAAAGGAGAAGTTTTATTTGTGGTGTTTGAATGATGTCAGAGGCAAAGAGAAATGATGGTGTGTGCTGTGCAAGTCTGCATCATTGCTTTTGACACATATTAGCAGGTGCGGAGACTCCTGACACATATTTCCATATGATAATGGTGAATCCTTTACTTTGGAAAATGTGCAACTTTAATAAAAAGTAAATCTGTCAAAATGGTAGTAAAATTAGTATCTCATGATGAAAATGTTTTTGTATGATACATAGGTGTAGATACAATCTCCAAGATAATTTTTTTATAGACACTTTTAAATTAATTCATCCCTTTAAGGTAATTGATGAAAGGCAAATGTAAATATATAGGTATGTTTACACCTTTTCATGAGGTTAATCTGCAGCCCTCTGCATTACCCTGCACAAACTTGTGCTGGTGGGTGAAGGTGAGGTTATTCAGCTTAATGCAACCAGGAAACATGGAAGACTTCAAAAGATTTGATAACAGTTGTTGAAAATAAATTGAGTTGAGAGAGCAAACAGGAATGATGAAACAGTTTTTACTGCTCCTTTCCTTTCTACCTCTTGAGAAGCGTTCAGATTCTCTGGTGGATTGAGCTGCCCTCTGTTTTGTTCCAGGATAAGGAGTCTAAAAGAACATAAAGGTGTGAGGTGCATGTAGTTAACAGAATTTGCTGCCATGTAAAGTCAGCATTTATTGCAGCTGTGGCCTTAAGTTGTTTCCCTCAGGCTAGCAGTAACCTTGCATGGTGTGAGGATGATAAGGCATTGAGACAAGGCACAGGGTGTGATCCTGCCCTCTCTGCACAGTCTAAGCTCCTCTCATCCGGCAGTTATCCCAGTTGCAGAGATGGGAGCTTTTAGGAATGTGGGAGCAGAATTGAGTTCTGCATCTCAGTTAATGGGGGGACATTTGTTGTGGGTCATGTTTCACCTTTGCACAAAGCAAAAGGACTTGCTGTTTTCCTCTGCTGATTTTCCAAACCTTTTTGGGGGTTTTAGTATTCTCATTTATAATGGTAAAAGGGAGTGAGAGCAGCAGGTTTGCATGCATTGGCAATAACTTTGTCTGCAAAATAACAGATGTCTGTTATACGAAGGGACAGTTTGACCAGGTATCATGCTTTGAAATCAAAACTGAATATCAAGTCTTTATTGCTTCCTTATTCTGATGAATATTCAATACCAAGTGCAATGCTAGCCTCAGACTGATGGATTTAGTTTTTCAGTAAAGAAGCACATCTCCAGGCTTCACTGTAATTATGAAAATTGCTGTTGATTCTTGATGGCATATTCTGCAGAAAGTATAGCAGCCCAGAAGAGACTCATTGTTTTCATGGGTTGTGCCTGCTATGTGTGGTGGCTGGAGACAGGGAAGCATCAGCGTACTTGACTCCAGACAAACTCTAGAGTTAACTCAGGGTGCCAGCATGTCTAACATGACTGTACTTTGTGGAAGGCCCTCTTTCACTATATTGCCAAGACATTCAATGTCTGGAAACATTTGCAAACAATGGCCTCCAACAAAGGAGCCATGGCTGCGCAAAGGAAGCTCGCTAACCGGGATTGACGTCAACGGGGATGGATGCTGACCAAGCACTGGCACTCATCACTGCCCAGCTGCACTTGGCCACGGTCATGTGTGTCACAGGTCTGGAGAGGGTGTGTGCCATTTGTCTTCCTCTTGAGGTCTGTGACAATGTCTGAATCCTATCATTCTAGTTTATGAGAAAGAGCTTTGCAATCCCAGGAGTGTTTCCACAGAAAGAGGACACTTACAAGTACACAGAAACTCAGCAGGATTTAATTTTATGTAAAAGAAAACATGACTGTGACATATCATCTGAGAATCAGGAATCATTTTTCTTTGATACAAAATTGCTTAGTCTTAGAAATAACACTCGTATGCAATTTTGTGCAGAAAGAACCTGGGTTTTAAAATGACAACAACACAGCTTTTAATTTTGCAGGTGTAAATTGCACCTGCAAATCATTTTGTCTGCAAACCTCAGCATTTCATAGTTGATTTCCTGATTTCTTATGGCTTTCTTAACTGATATCAGTTATTTCGATATATAGCTTTGCAGGCACTACTATTTCAGGAATAAAATTGCAGTGTCAAAGCTTCAAACCCATTTCTGAACATTTGATGGAAGTGAGGAGTTAGTATGAGTAGCCAATCACACTGTTCATACAAATCTTTTGATACTACCCTCCAGTATGAGATTAGTGGGGGTTATCATGGCAAAAGACTGCATCTCTTAAGCAACTTGATCTAGTGAAGCCAGGAAACTGCCATTTACAGTAAGATTCCTGATTGTGTTTCTGATACACATTCTTGTGAATCACATTTTGACAGTCTCTATATGAAGTTTACTCTTTTATTAGCTTCATTTCCTATTACCTCTCTTTTCCTATCTTTGTTTTAAAAAACCTAGCTGCTTACCTACTCTAAAATTATCATTATCTGTTGCTTAATAATGACCATCGGGTGTGGGCATTTCACTAGTGAAGTGTGTGCATCGATGCAGGCACACAGGCAGTCAAAGCCCTATGAGAGTTCTTCGCCACTGCCACCACCACAGAAGATTACATTTTAAAATACAAAGCCTCTGCATGCTTTTTGGGAGATAGCTGAAATACAGGTAACTCAGCTGCAGTAAGAATTTTAAAAAGACCTGTTTAAAAAAGGCCTTTAAATTTTATCATTCCCCCCTCCCCCCCTTATAAAAACCATCCATACAGCTCTAAGTTTCTTGGCAGTCACATACAGGCTGCCAGATTGATGTACTGAAACCCAGCTTTCTCTTTACCCTGCGGTGTGCCAGAACATGTAGGATGGGAAGGTAGGGACAGTGCCAGCTACCCAGCACCTTGCTTCCCCAGCACACAAGGGAAGCAGTACCTTCCTCATACAGCCTTGGATTGCAGAACAAGAAGGTGGTTCTGGGTGGGTCTTCCTGGGACTGGGCTGTGACCTCCTAAAGAGGAGGCTTGAGGGGTGGCAGCATCTGTTGAACAGAGTTGGATGGAGACCCATAAACTCATTCCATGTTCTGCTCTGAAAGCAGAGAACACCCAGCATTGCTGCTTGCTTTGTGCTAAAGGGGGAAGTTCAACCCTGCAAAGGTTAACTTTAGAGCATGGTAAAGGAATAAATCTGATAACACATCACCCAACTTCACCTTGGTGGTTTTGTGTCACTGAAAGGTTGTTGAGATGTGATTGAAAGCAGGTACTGCAGCCAAGCTGTTACATGCCTAATTTGTTACTGTATAAATAATTTGCATACATGTTTTACTTACAGGCTTTTGTTATTTTAACAGGGTCGCCATGTGAAGACTGGGCAGCTAGCAGCAATCAAAGTGATGAATGTTACTGAGGTGAGTACAAATACAATAATAATAAAGTTGTTATCAAGGTGTAAGGAAAAATAATCAGCTCATGAGAAGGTGGATAGCTTGTTAAAGACGATCTAGTGGTATAAATTATGGTTTCTGAGAACCAGTTTGTGTTTTATGAAGTACTGACAGGTGGTAATACAACCAGATTTTTCAATTGTACCTGACCAGTGATGACAAATCAATAGGGGAATGCATTGCCATATATTTTGATGGTCTATAGTAACAAAGAGAACTCTCTTCCTGTGTATTTCTAGTTGTTTATCTGTTTCCAGAGATAGCAAGTATAAGATTTCCTGTAACTCTGCACTGCCCCTGCTGTGTTTCATCACATCCTCTCCCCTTGCATGCCACCCATTCCTCAGAGTAGCTACCCTGACAGCTGGCAAGCAGGAACATGTTAAAAATGTAGAAGTAGCACTTTTTTATTGTTATTTGACAGATGAGAGGAGGAGACAGTTTCATTGGCACTGTCCCTGCTCACGTTTAAAAGTAGTGTCAGTGTTGGAGCAGGATGTTGAAAAAGTTGCCAAGTATTGATTTTTGTTTCTTCTTTTAAGAGTTTAGCCAGTAGTGAAGCAGCTTGCTCCTTGAGACATATTAGCCTGAACCCCAGAAAGGTTGGGGGCACTCCCTGCATCCTCTTCTCTCATTTACTGGAAGTCTTTTCTAGGATGCAGCTAGTCTTACTGAAGACCAGCTCCCCATTCTGTCACTCTGGCAAGTGTAGGTATGGAGTACAAAACTCCAGGATAAAGTTAGTCCTCTTGTGATGCTGTAAAATAAAAACCAGGGCCAAGTCTGCCAGTAGTGCACCTATATGTCTGTTTTGGGTGAACACAAGCAAGCCTTGCCTGCATTTTTGTATGTCTTTTGATTGTCTTGGAAGACAGCAGAACAAGTTGTTGTCTGCATGGGCCTTGTCACGTAGAGCAGTCCAGGACAGTTCTTTCTGGTGCAGGAATCCAGCCCTGAGCAGGAAGTGGTCTGAATTGTACGTTGGTTATTTGAAATTGAAGGCTACTGCAGCGCTTTGGCAAAGCATGTCGAAGGGCGCTTTCGGCTGTGGCTGCTACCTTGTAAAATACATGTGTAGTTGAATTGCCAGATTTGTTCTTCTGTGTGCACAGAGGATGCATTTTTTAAATGAGTGCTACATGAGATTGGCGGGATTTTTACCTTTAGCTCTGTAGGTACATGTATCATCAGGTGCTTTGGCTTTTAAAAATGACATTTGCCGAATAGGAGGCCTCTGGATTTTAGCAGGTGAGGAGGTAGGGTTTGGGTCATACAGATTCTTGAGATCAGAGCATCTGCATGCTTTGGCAGAGGAGCTGACAGGACAGGCCCTGACACAGGCTCAGAAGTGATGGACTGCTTTCATGCTTTGCTGGGTCAGTCAACAGTGTGTGAGGGCTCCCAGAGATGTCACTTGTGGGCAGAGGATGGGATTGAACAAGGGTATCTTACATGCCAGGGGTCTGAGCTACTTTCTTGCTACTTGGATATTCTGCAGTGGGTTTCTCTCCCCCAGCATCATGCTTTCATCGCTAGAAAATCCAAACTAAGAAGTCTTTCAGCTAAAACATTTCATCATAACTGGTACATTTCTCTCAAAAGATTCTGTTTCACCAATTTTTCTTCCGACAAGAAATCATTTAATCAGAAATTCCCTGACCAGCTCCAGCTGTGATTGTTCAGCTCAAAGATCTGGGGCACACCAAGAGCTAAGCAAACCTGTGCTTCACTGTCATAAGCTGCAGCCCTGGGCTGGTTTCCTAAGAGCAGCAGCAGGTTGCTGTGGTCATTGCAGAATCCTCTGGACATCTGTCAGGAAGTGCTGCCATGTGGTGTTACAGGGAGAGTGGGGAGCACTTTGAAATGGTTGAAAGGGAGCTCTAGTCAACATGTGCTCACGTGCCTCTCCACACAGGCTCTGCTTCCTGTTCTCTGATGGTGCCAAGCAAACAGAGTGCTTGCAAAGAGGTTGGATTCTTGCTGCTTTTCTCTTCAGCTATTGGTGTGGGAGATCAAAGAGCTTTTCTGCAGCAGGTCATTCTCTGTCTGTGCTTGTGTTCCATCCTTCCACATACCAGAGTAACATTTAAATGAGAAAATTGTCATTAGAGCTGCTCTAGTACTAAGGGGTCTCTTGGTAAAGTATTTGTCAACTAATGATCTTGTTTCCATTTGAGGTCAGAGGCATGTGCTTTCTAGCTTCTTAGTGTCATTGCAGATAGGCCCATGTCTTCAAAAACAGCCTTTGATCATGAACCTGTCATCTTTGTGCATGCAGCCATCTGTGCCCAGAAATGCATTGGTTTGTGAAAGCAAACAGCTTTTTGCACCTGCACATCTGTGAGCTTGTTTCGTTTTCTAAAGCAGGGTGATTTATGAGCAGATTTCTGGACCCCAGGGAGATGTGGCTGATGGTAACACTGACAAGAGGGGATATCCTGAGCATGTGCAATCACATACACTGAAAAGTCGAGGGTGCTTTTGTCACAAGTCAACCTGCTTGAAGGATGTATGTAGTACTGAGACTTAGCAAGTCCAGGTTCAGTTCCTGGCCCATGGGATGGAATGGCTCACATTTATCCTTCTGCCTCAGTTTCTCCATGTAAAATAGAGATTTTTTTCCAAAACTCACTCAAGCACTGGGAAGACAGAGTACTTTTTGCCCACTTGCTCTCCCGTATAGCCTTTTACCTTACAGACTGATTGATATTTGAAGTCACATCTCTTGTCTTTGGAGGATGCAAGAGTTTGGCTCAGAGGGCTTCTGCTCAGCAGTGGTGGGGGTCAGCAGGGAAGCCCACTGTCCAGTCTAAGCAGTGTCTTCCCAAGGCACTCATACTGTATCTGAGCAGCATAACAGCAGTGTGTGAGCACAGGTAACTGCCTCTACGGGCAAGGATGGGCAAGGGAAGAAGAAGCAGGTGCAGGAAAGGAGCAGGTGGCACCCTTCTGGGTAAATAGATAAGGACACAAGATAAAGCAGGAAATGGAACATCTTGCAGGTAATGGTAAAGGAGCATTATACATGTGCAGCTACTCTGCTCTTGGCAGTGCCTGTGGACGAGCCTACCTGGGATTCCAGCAGTGTTCACAAGCAGGCACATGTTTATCTTTGTTTTAAAAACATGGAGGCAAGATTGCCAAGTAATAGAAAGTACTCGGATGAGAGCTATGGCAGCACAGTTCCAACATCCAATAAAATAATTGGGCAAAGGAACAAGAGCTGAAAAAGAGGTAATAGCTCTGAGGAAGTGGTTGAAATCTGCCACCTCCCCAGGGGGAACTTTGTGAAAGCTGCAGGCTGGTGGTGAGGGCATAGCTGGGAAGCTTTTCAGTCAGGCCCCTCCAGTGCAAAGTTCATGCAGGTGGGCAGAGTTAAAAAAAACCCTGAAATCCTAAGATCTGAAGAGACCTTAAGTAGTTTGGGGGAAGGCTTTTACCAAAGATGAATGTTGTTCCTCTGTGTGTATGGTTGCCCTAGCAGAGGGAGTGGGCAGGATGCAGTTAGGTCCAGGATGTTGGTTCCCATGTCCTTACTCTTTGCCTCCTTCTCCTCACCTGCCTGTTTCTACCTTTTGATGTGCACTATCTGGAGTCCTGAAGGGACTAGAGCCTTGTTTTCCCACACAGAGAGCATCAGCATGAGCTCTCAGCTCGTTGTGCCCTGGCCATGTGCAGAGAGAAATGGGATCTTGCTTGTGGAGGATTTCCTGCACGCTGTCTGAGAGTCAGCTCTCTTTTCTCTTGGAGACTCCAGGTGCTCATCAGGCTCCTTCTTACCCTCTCTAAGTAAGTCAAGACAACATCCAGGGCTGTATCAAGCCAAGAGTTAAGGGTCCTTCTTTCTCCTCAATTGCAAACAAAAGTGAAGTATCTAGTGTAATGTGTTCAGCAGTAGAGCCTGTTTAACAAAGGGGCTGTTCTGAAACCTGAAATAGCTAATTTTCCTTCAAGTGGAGTTACTTTACATTTCCCATTTCCTAAAGCTTAAGACAATTAGGCTTTAGTCTGGTAACATGTCTCCTGTGAATTGATGTTATGTAGGGAA